AATAGTCTTTTTTGAAATTTATAAAATTGTTTCATATTTATGTATCTGATTATTATCGTACGTATCGGATATAAAATTTGGCATGTAAAATAATAATTTTTTTGAAATATTAATTATATTTTGGGCGCTGTTATAATTTGTATTTTATATTTGTATGTTACAAACAACGTAGCCTCAAGACCAACAACTCCGCTGCTGCGCATCAGTGCCGGTGAGTGACAAATTTTTATTTAATTTTAAAGTAACGGATTTGTAGAGACTGTAGGTGTAGATTGTAGATTGTAGATTGTAGATAAATCCGTTACTTTTAAATGGATAAGCTAAAATAGATCACATTGAATAACTTTTAATTAGTTTTTTGATATACGTTGCATCTATTGCAAAAGTAAATTAAAGTCTAAATTAAAGAAAAAAGATTATAGAAAACATTTGTTTTCAATTTGTAAATTTATCTAATTTATTGAATAAAGAACGATAGCATTTTTATAATTATACATGTGATAGTAATTTATTCTTATAACGTGCGCCGATTTTATTCTAATTTCTTATAGCTCATCCATATCGTAGAATTTGTTTCTATATACTGTTCGTAAAGTTTGTTTTAACTGAGCAATCAATTAATATTATATATTTTCCAAATTTTACAAATATATATCATTCTTTGGTATTAAATATAAAAAATATTGTATAAGATTGAAGATTTAATGTTAAACTAACGGTTAAATATTAGCTTCTTATTCCCGAAATTTAATGATTGCCCTTGATATTGCAGAATCGCGAATAAATTAGTACGAATTTTATGATTTATTTTCATTTAGAGATTGATGTATTTACGAATTCCTACGGTTAGGAATATGTTCTCCGGAATCTCAGATTTCTGCTGGTTCAGCCATCAAGTAGGATTGTTAGGGCTCTAGGGATCATTAGGACACATTGAGGAAAAAGCTAAAAATAAGATCAAAATATACATATAATAATAATATCCAACTGAAATTTATGTTCAGAAAAATTAAAAAAAATAAATCACAATAATACTATAAAACATTATAACATGTTATAATGTATATTTTATGGTAAAATTTTTACCAATAATGATTGCCCTTGATATTGCGGAATCGCGAGTAAATTAGTACGAATTTTATGATTTAT